TAAGTGTTGCAATTAAAAACGAAAATAAATTAGGAAAAGACAAACAATAGTCAGCAAGAAAAACATAACAACGACAGACTAAACACTCATCCCCCCCCCCCCCCCCCCCCAAATAAAACTGAGGAGACCCGTAGGAAAACATAAACATAGTAAGTATATGTTAGGACAACAGAAAACATAGTAAGTAGATGTTAGGACAACACCACATAGTAAGTAGATCTTAGGACAACATAAACATAGTAATAGTTCTAAGAACAACATAAACATAGTAAGAAGAAGTTAGGACAACATAAACATAGCAGGTGGATGTGAGGAGAACACAAACATAGTAAGTAGATCTAAGGACAACATAAACATAGTAAGTATATATTAGGACAACATAAACATAGTAAGTAGATGTGAGGATAAAATAGACATAGAAAGTAGATGTTAGAACAACATAAACATAGCAAGTAGATGTAAGGACAACACAAACATAGTAAGTAGATCTAACGACAACATAAACATAGTAAGTATATCTTAGGACAACATAAACATTGTAAGTAGATCTAAGGACAACATAAACATAGTAAGTAGATGTGAGGATAAAATAAACATAGAAAGTAGATCTTAGGACAACATTAACATAGTAAGTAGATCTTAGGACAACATAAACATAGTAAGTAGATGTTAGGACAATATAAACATAGCAAGTAGATGTGAGGACAACATAAACATAGTAAGTAGATCTAAGGACAACATAAACATAGTAAGTATATCTTAGGACAACATAAACATAGTAAGTAGATGTGAGGATAAAATAAACATAGTAAGTAGATGTGAGGATAAAATAAACATAGAAAGTAGTTCTTAGGACAACATTAACATAGTAAGTAGATCTTAGGACAACATAAACATAGTAAGTAGATGTTAGGACAATATAAACATAGCAAGTAGATGTGAGGACAACATAAACATAGTAAGTAGATCTTAGGACAACATTAACATAGTAAGTATATCTTAGGACAACATAAACATAGTAAGTAGATGTGAGGATAAAATAAACATAGAAAGTAGATCTTAGGACAACATAAACATAGTAAGTAGATCTAAGGACAACATAAACATAGTAAGCAGATGTGAGGACAACAAAAACATAGTCGTTATATGTTAGGACAACATAAACATAGCAAGTAGATGTGAGGACAACACAAACATAGTAAGTAGATCTAAGGACAACATAAACATAGAAAGTATATCTTAGGACAACATAAACATAGTATGTAGATGTGAGGACAACTTAAACATAGTCGTAATATGTTAGGACAACATAAACATAGCAAGTAGATGTGAGGACAACACAAACATAGTAAGTAGATCTAAGGACAACATAAACATAGTAAGTATATCTTAGGACAACATTAACATAGCAAGAAGATGTGAGGATAAAATAAACATAGAAAGTAGATCTTAGGACAACATAAACATAGTCGTTATGTGTTAGGACAACATAAACATAGAAGGTAGATGTTAGGACAGCATACACATAGTAAGTAGAGGTGAGGACATCATAAACATATAAATTAGATGTGAGGACAACATAAATATAGTGAGTAGATGTGAGGACAACACAAACGTAGTAAGTAGATGTAAGGACAACACAAACGTAGTAAATAGGTGTGAGGACAACATAAACATAGTAAGTAGATGTTAGGACAACATAAACATAGTAAGTAGATTTTAGGACAACATAAACCTAGTAAGTAGATGTGAGGATAATATAACCATAGTAAGTAGATCTTAGGACAACACAAACATGGTAAGTAGATGTGAGGACAACATAAACATAGTCGTTATATGTAAGGACAACATAAACATAGAAGGTAGATGTTAGGACAGCATACACATAGTAAGTCGATGTGAGGACATCATAATCATATAAAGTATATGTGAGGACAACAAAAACATCGTGAGTAGATGTGAGGACAACACAAACGTAGTAAGTAGATGTGAGGACAACATAAACGTAGTAAATAAATGTGAGGACAACATAAACATAGTAAGTAGATGTTAGGACGACATAAACATAGTAAGTATATGTTAGGACAACATAAACATAGTAAGTAGATGTGAGGATAATATAAACATAGTAAGTAGATGTTAGGACAACATAAACATAGTAAGTAGATGTGAGGACAATATTTACAATGTAAGTAGATCTTAGAACAACATAAACAAATTAAGTAGATCTCAGGACAACATAAACATAGCAAGTAGATGTGAGGATAAAATAAACATAGAAAGTAGATCTCAGGACAACATAAACATAGTGAGGAGGACAACACAAACATAGCAAGTAGATGTGAGGACAACATAAAAATAGAAAGTAGATGTGAGGATAATATTAACATAGTAAGTAGATGTGAGGACAACATTTACAAAGTAAGTAAATCTTAGAACAACATAAACAAATTAAGTAGATCTTAGGACAACATAATCATAGTAAGTGGATATGAGGACAACATAAACATAGTAAGTAAATGTGAGGACAACTTAAACATAGTCGTAATATGTTAGGACAACATAAACATAGCAAGTAGATGTGAGGACAACACAAACATAGTTAGTAGATCTAAGGACAACATAAACATAGTAAGTATATCTTAGGACAACATAAACATAGCAAGAAGATGTGAGGATAAAATAAACATAGAAAGTAGATCTTAGGACAACATTAACATAGTCGTTATGTGTTAGGATAACATAAACATAGAAGGTAGATGTTAGGACAGCATACACATAGTAAGTAGAGGTGAGGACATCATAAACATATAAATTAGATGTGAGGACAACATAAACATAGTGAGTAGATGTGAGGACAACACAAACGTAGTAAGTAGATGTAAGGACAACACAAACGTAGTAAATAGGTGTGAGGACAACATAAACATAGTAAGTAGATGCTAGGACAACATAAACATAGTAAGTAGATGTTAGGACAACATAAACATAGTAAGTAAATGTGAGGATCAAATAAACATAGAAAGTAGATTTTAGGACAACATAAACATAGTAAGTAGATGTGAGGATAATATAACCATAGTAAAAAAATCTTAGGACAACACAAACATAGTTAGTAGATGTGAGGACAACATAAACATAGTCGTTATATGTAAGGACAACATAAACATAGAATGTAGATGTTAGGACAGCATACACATAGTAAGTAGATGTGAGGACATCATAAACATATAAAGTAGATGTGAGGACAACATAAACATAGTGAGTAGATGTGAGGACAACACAAACGTAGTAAGTAGATGTGAGGACAACATAAACGTAGTAAATAGATGTGAGGACAACATAAACATAGTAAGTAGATGTAAGGACAACATAAACATAGAAGGTAGATGTTAGGACAACATAAACATAGTAAGTAGATGTGAGGATAATATAAACATAGTAAGTAGATGTTAGGACAACATACACATAGTAAGTAGATGTTAGGACAACATAAACATAGTAAGTAGATGTTAGGACAACATAAACATAGCAAGTAGATGTGAGGACAACATAAAAATAGAAAGTAGATGTGAGGATAATATAAACATAGAAAGTAGATGTGAGGACAACATTTACAATGTAAGTAGATCTATGAACAACATAAACAAATTAAGTAGATCTCAGGACAACATAAACATAGCAAGTAGATGTGAGGATAAAATAAATATAGAAAGTAGATCTTAGGACAACATAAACATAGTAAGTAGATCTCAGGACAACATAAACATAGTAAGTAGATGTGAGGACAACACAAACATAGCAAGTAGTTGTGAGGACAACATAAAAATAGAAAGTAGATGTGAGGATAATATTAACAGAGTAAGTAGATGTGAGGACAACATTTACAAAGTAAGTAGATCTTAAAACAACATAAACAAATTAAGTAGATCTTAGGACAACATAAACATAGTAAGTGGATATGAGGACAACATAAACATAGTAAGTGGATATGAGGACAACATAAACAAATTAAGTAGATCTTAGGACAAAATAAACATAGTAAGTGGATATGAGGACAACATAAACATAGTAAGTGGATATGAGGACAACATAAACAAATTAAGTAGATCTTAGGACAACATAAACATAGTAAGTTGATATGAGGACAACATAAACATAGTAAGTGGATATGAGGACAACATAAACAAATTAAGTAGATCTTAGGACAACATAAACATAGTAAGTGGATATGAGGACAACATAAACATAGTAAGTGGATATGAGGACAACATAAACAAATTAAGTAGATCTTAGGACAAAATAAACATAGTAAGTGGATATGAGGACAACATAAACATAGTAAGTGGATATGAGGACAACATAAACAAATTAAGTAGATCTTAGGACAACATAAACATAGTAAGTTGATATGAGGACAACATAAACATAGTAAGTGGATATGAGGACAACATAAACAAATTAAGTAGATCTTAGGACAACATAAACATAGTAAGTGGATATGAGGACAACATAAACATAGTAAGTGGATATGAGGACAACATAAACATTGCGAGTAAAAGTAAGGAGAACATAAACATAGTTATTAGAAGTTAGGACAACATAAACAGCATAAACAGAACGCAGATGTAATGACTACATAAACCTAATTTCCACTTTCTTTTATTATATGTTTGGATAACATAGACAAAGACAGTAGAACATAAACATAGTAAGTAGATGTTTGGATAACATAGACAAAGACAGTAGAACATAAACATAGTAAGTAGATGTTTGGATAACATAGACAAAGACAGTAGAACATAAACATAGTAAGTAGATGTTAACACAACATTAACATAGTAAGTAGATGTTAGGACAATACAAACATAGTAAGTAGATGTTAGGATAACATAGACATAGTAAGTATATGTTTGGATAACATAGACAAAGACAGTAGAACATAAACATAGTAAGTAGATGTTAACACAACATTAACATAGTAAGTAGATGTTAGGACAATACAAACATAGTAAGTAGATGTTAGGATAACATAGACAAAGAAAGTAGAACTATTTTTGACTAATGGTACCCCTACGAAAAATTGACCTCTCATTGCAGATTTATGGTTCAATAACCAATTAGATATTAAAACAATAGTTGGACAAGAAGGGGAAGAAATGGAAATGAATTGTACCTCTAACACAGCACAGTACAATGATGCTTTAATGATTAAAACAAACGGAACTGTCAAAGCAACTGGTGATACTCAATCTGTGAGCTATTTGTTTATACCAGACAGAACAGATCATCTGTCAATATACAAATGTGTGGACAGAACGCACTCGTCGATAATGATTGAAGTCAAATTAATTATAAGGTGTAAGTATGTAAGGTCATCACTTTGTAATCTGGAAACAAAGCTAAAGTATTTTCGTGGTGAAAACGTCAAGATCGGTTTGTCTCGAGATTGCAAGTACCGTTTTGAAGATTTAACATGTTTAAGTATTTGTAAGTAGTTTTACGATATTTGCAAAAACACTTAATGATATTGAAACTTTTGATTTGTAAAAAAGTGGAAAACAACGCTTTATAAATGGCATGCTTAAGTAAGTTAGGAAACGTGAGCAGGGGTTAGTTATTGTTGATTCAATACAAAAGCACACTAAAGTGTCATCGGTACGATTTTGAAATGTAATGCTTTTTTGTGTGTGTGTAGGACAACTTCATTTGTACCAAGTGCAATATCAGTTAATTAAATTAATCTCAGCGTTCATTGAACAGAAAAATGTAAAAGTACATATAGGACGAAAACCTATGAATGAGATCGCCATGCATTTTGCTTTGTATACCGACATGATTAGCCGATTTGTTTACGTTCAAACTCACAAGATCTGCATAGAAACATGCTAACTTCCAATGGCACTTTTTGTTCGGGCCGAAAAATCTTTCCTTCAATGCCTCATTATTGGCACATTAATAGAACTTTTCAACATTACAGCCTTTGATTTGACGCAGTCGGAAATATTGAATTCACGCTCCCGCGGTAGGGGTGCACTACAACAAGATCTGAATCAATTTAGATAATAAACCAAAAAGTCAAAAGAAAACAAAATATGTGTGATGAAAACCAGTTCGGGCATGCGAAGAAAGGCAATTTAAATGACTTACAGCCTTCCGTTGAAGCCACTTATCTGGCATATGTGTACATTTGAAAACATTTATCTTTTGCACATATATGCTTGCACTATTGACTTATTGTCGATGAATGTTTTGTTGAACTTTTCGTATGTATAATGATATAAAGAGAAAAGCTGTTAAATTTCTAATTTTAAATTGCAGATGCCCCTGTCGTTATAGGCCGTTTTACGAATGAGACGATTAAATGTGATTGCGATGGAGTTCCAGCAATGTATAGTGTGTACAGGTTAGAACAAAATTCAGAGGACGGAAAACTTGTCCGTTCAGTAAATTTGAATAATGAAACATTCCCTTTCAACACGGAAATGTTTCCATACCAGAAAAATGGTAGATATACGTGTGTTGTGAGTAATGGTATTCCAGATAGTAATGGAAATGCACTACAGACCTGGTCAACTAATGTTAAATATGAAGGTAAGATAAATGAATTAAAATAGGATTCATATATTTCCTTAACATTTATTGGTTACAAGTTATTTATTACTAGTCTTATTACTGTTATATTGCAAAATGTCAAATGATAGTAAAACATTAACAAAAGCACATGGTCACCATTATTTTTATCAAATTATCGGTTAACATGTTAAATGTAGCTAATGGGGCCTGCAGATTACATAAAATTCAGAATCAAACGATAGTAACAAAACTTGGATAGTATATCAGTGTTATTAACACCTAAGCATCATAATAAATGTATATGGTATGGTGAAGAATATCAGTTATATAAAGATCATCATCAAAATAAGAATATGCGATAAGCTTAACAACTTTGCACAAGAAACCAGATGATTAGAAGTTTACACTGTACATTTTACCCTAGTAGTTATGGCTTGGATTTAATGGAACTATAACACGTGTATTCAACTTTTTACCACGAGGTGATGTGATTAGATATTGTGTATTGTTGGAATGTCTTCTCATTAAAGTTTACAAACGAACTCCTTATGTAAAAAATAAATGATATTCAAAGCGTGAATAGCGCGCAATGTATTCATCGTTTTACTCAGACAAAGATACGATAGAGTACCACGTGATGTCGTGCTAAGTATAACTTAAATGGTCTTTAAAAATTGGCGAACTAGTTATTATGTATAAGAGAAAGGTTTCAGTTTCAGAGGTGACTTTAAAAATGAAAAGCATCATCAAACAGGAAGTGTACACTTTATCTGAATGGATGAAAGCATATTGGTTACAGTTTTTTTCCTACAAAAATATGAACCGTAGATTTTGTGAAGATCCGCACCGATTCCACAAACCACATTCATTGAAGATGATATCATCAAAATGCTTGACTTTTTCATCGCCAACATATTTGTTGAGTTTGGTGAATTTGAATATATATATAAATTCGTAATGGTAAATAATTATGCATCCCTACTTGCTTACTTGTTTTTATATACTCATATGAAACAGAATTCGTGGACGGTGTCGAATTTTTGTAATATAAAACAGATAGCATTAATGATTTTGATAATTGAAATAAAACGTAATGCATTTTGATTGAATGTGATTGGCACCTACTGATAAGAATTAACATTTTTTTAATAGGATCACCTGTATTTGCACCAGAAAACAGAAATGTAAAAATAGGGGAAGTAGGACAGTCAATAACACTGTCGTTTTACATTTATAGTTACCCTGAGGTTGAACAAATATTTGTTGAAAAGATAGGATTGAACTCAATTAAAAGTAATAAAAAACAACATTACACCATTTCTCAATCTACATTGCGTTACACTGAGTATAACAACATCGCTGGAATTGAAGGTTATGAGATTTTAATTGAAAGTGATGTATTGGACATCGATGACTTTCAAACCTATTGTATTACAGCAAAGAATCAACTGGGCAAAACCAGTTATTATTTTGAAATTATAGATAATGGTAAGCATAAAGATTTCAAAAAAAACATTAGACACAGTGTTACAATTAAAAACGAAAATAAATTAGAAAAAAACAAACAATAGTCAGCATGAAATACATAACAACGAAAGACTGAACACTCACACCTCCCTCCACCCCTTCGCCACCCGCCACAATAAAAATGAGAATAACCTCAGGAGACCCTGTTCATAGCAAATGAAAATTCGGTGAAATGTTTTTGAATCTAAGATTGTCTTTCGCGTTATGATTGTCGATACTGAAACAGAGGTTCTGATTTCTGATTGACCTCGGGAAATATTTGAAACTCAGATAACCACTCATATAAATTATTTATTGTAGTAACATATTTTTCAATACGTTATTGTTTCTAACTTTTCGCCGACTATGCGTACATATGCTTAAATGTGAAACAATCAATCTATGCAGTGTCACTTGTGAAACTTATATTGATAACTAACAGTTGAAAGTAGTAACAACTTTCGGAAAAACACAAAGCTTATAGTTAATGCCTGCACACAATATATTAACTACATCAATCAGGAAAATGTTTTCTTTGCTGCTGAAACAGATGAATTCCGGGTATTAACAAATTCAAATGATTATTGCCATATAAACTTTAAACAATAAGTTTGCGACAAATACAAAATTAGTACAAGCGCTGCCACCGAATGGAAAATACGGCTATCAAATATACACTTAATTACTTGAACGTATGTAGCTTGTTGACCTCGGTACCAAAAACTTGATTATTTTCATTTATTGATAATGTTGTATGGTTTTCTTCAATGACATTATTTTCTTAATCAATGACATGACAAAGTTAAACGGTTACTGCTAGGAGAAGCATTAAGAGATTGAATACAAAAACTTAATTCCACTTCTACTTCCGCTGAACAAAACTTTGAAAGCTTTATTCTGCGACTTGATATACTGAATAGCTCATTCTAATATAGTTTTTATATATATACCTATTTCAGAGAATCTCCCGTTGAGCAAAAGTAAGATAATATATGTCGTGGTATTTTGCAGCATTGCTACCGTTCTAATTGTTTATATGATCACTATGCACATTTGTTTATATGTAAAACATAAAAAGACTCGGGATCAAATATATCATAATGTCGATGAAGACCACAATTATCATACATATGACGAAATTGGCACTATCTCGCATCGCGCTGTAAGGAACATACGTTCGTCAAACACCAATGACAACCAAGAACAGCATATGATGCACCAACATGCAGCTCATATATCAAATGAAATCAATGTGCAACCAACCGATGATAATACGCCTGAATTAAATGCAGACTTTTCCCATAATGGTTTACCACAAAGTGAAGTTAACGACATGCAAAGGCAAAGACAACATATGTCTACTACTGCGGATGACACGAACCGTTCTAATATAGATTTATCGCAGATCCTTTCCACTGCTATACCAAACATGGATAACATCATCAATTGCAATACAACTAATGCAAATACAAACAGAGAATTATCAAATGATCAAAAGAGTCAAAGTAGTAATGATTCTGATAGTAACATATCAAATAATGTTATGATAGGCAGTATTGGAGATGGATATGAAAACCCCTACCAAACGGTATTACATGATCGCCCTGAAAGTCACCAATACGTTGAAATCACAAGAGAAAGGCATTGCAGCATCTCATCTACTGATTTTAATAAAAGCGAAGGGCAAAGACTTAAAACATGCTCGACGAAGGAATGAGAGTACATCAATCTTCAATTCTGATTTACATTATATTTCTACTTGCCAAGCGTATGAGACATGATTACATGATATGATGTTAACACTTTAAATTGTTTTTAATTTCTGCGAGCAATCATTGAAACAGTACGAAGTAGTATTGATTACGCTGTATCGTTATAACTGTTTATTTTACCGGAGAAATACTGTTAATACTTATTTGATTATTCTGTATTGAATTGTATAGTTCTTTTTTATTTAGCATTTGTTATTTACTTATCGAGATTCACGGTAGAGAGACTAACAACGAAATTAGGGTTTTGATTTAGTTCACCGTACACGCCTCAAAAACGGGACGCTTCAATCATAACAGTTGAAAGACGAAATCGAAATTTAATCAAATTCCGTTTATTCTGCCAAAAGTGCATGAACATTTTTGAAATCAGTAGACGTTGCCAGTTAAACCGATATGATTTGTATCATTTAAGGACATAACGTCATTTGGTTTGCTTTGTATCTGCCTCATTTTCATATGCCAGTTATGTGTAATGTATATGATTCATACACATGTCATAGCCTCTTTGATCATCATGTGTTACCTGATTCTGTACATATTGATATACTTTGTCGTTTTTTTTTATCAAATTTGTTTTTTATTTTAATTTATGCAGATACTTATTCATTGAAGAATGTTTAAAGTAATTGAAATTAATCAACGAGACTACGAAATACTTAACCGTTATGGAATAACCTGTTCCTTATGTCGTAACTACAATACTGATATAATGAAAACAATTGGATAGTACAAAGTATCCGTTTCCTTTCTATATTTCCCGTGTAAAATTTTACAATTTAAATCATTCTTTATTTTAGTTTAAATATAATCATGTTCGCAATAACGGACGAAAAGAAGGTCATTGTAACCGTTGCGAATTTTCCATTAAACATGTTTTCGGCTGATAAAAAAAACCCAAAAAAACACTGTATTAAAACTGAAGTAAATGTTTTTATTAGATTACATGTCAAATAACAGAATGATGTATGTTGTTTGCAGTTGTCATTGCTTACCTGGGGAACCTTTGTATATTGTTTTTAATAATTACGTGATGCATTCAATTTCGATAAATAAAATGAACATTATCCTAAATATATTCAACCAATAAGAAGATTTACAACTCATACCATACAAAACACATAACTATAAAATAGGGAGATTTGGGAGGATTACAGATGAAACAATTACAATGTACCCACCATAATTCAAATGAATCAGTAGCGGACAGAAAGTCAAATAAACACACATATATATAAAACATTTATTAAAGGGAACCAGATAAACAAAATACAATGCAGGTAGGTTAATGCTGTTTTAGAGTAAATTGGCTATTTATTCATAGAAAAATCATCGAAATTTTAAATTATTTTGAATTTTAGTCTAGAACCTTTCATACCCTAAACTAATTATGATCATCCCTTATATCATCCAAAATTTTAAATTTCTGGTGTCCCGGAACTCCCCATCTCGTTACCATGGTAACGGGCGACTTTCAAAGATGGTGTGTGAACCTTCAACTTCAAGAGCCGGGCACACCCCAAAGAACTATATCAATGAATAAAAAATAAAGTTGTATTTGGTTGCCAAAATTGTTATCTTTCCTGTAACAGCTGTTTCTTTCTTTAAATTTGTCCTTTTATAATAAGAAAATAACAGAAGTGACATACAAACCAACCATGCAAACACCAAAAATCAACTTTCTTGTCAATTTTGAAAATGTTGTATTCATTTTTAAAACAAGAAACAGCAACATTGGTATTCATGAGCTTTCCAAGAATAAATATGCCAAGTTTTAAAGAGATCAATACATATTAACGGGGTGTGCCAATGCAATATTTATCAATGAATGATACTTAAGTCCTTTCGCGGCGACATTTAAACACTGAAATGATTCAGATCGATTATTCCCCTTTATTATATCAAAGTGCCGGGAAAGAAACGACATGGTGATAGTTTTTGATTAGAAATGGACACATTAAAGATGCAAAACAATGTTATGTTTTCATTTTTATACTTGAAGGTGTTCACGAATCTTGAGAAAAATCACGGTGCATACGAATGTCATGAGGGAAAAAAGGGGGGATACTCCAACGTTATACTTTGTAAGATATTGTAAGAGCTTTCGTAACCCCTTGTTCATTGCTTACTCCACATATGTGCCGATTGTAAATAAAATTAACTTGGTTACTTTCTTAACTTCGATTCTCATAGGGATTTTACGACGTTAAGATATGGAGATAACGAACGACAAAAAAGTCTTTCTAAAACAAAATGATTCTCTTGCATAAGAAAAAAAGCCACATTTATAGTGCATGGAAGTATGAAGCCCCTTCTATCAAACTCATGTTTCATGAGAAATATTAATCTGTTTGTCCTGATAAAGTTTTTTTCTTTCAAAGTTTTTTTTAAACAATTTTTATAGATAGATAGTATGCTAGAGCTATGTTCATTTGTTGAACATGCATCATTCATTCATTGCAGTCTCTTGAATAGTAAATTGATAAATTTTAAAAACAGGTCCATGCATTGGTCCAGAAAAAAATATAATACTAGGTCATGTACATGTTGTAGGTAAATACAGTATGAACTTATTTTCTATTGTTATAGAAAAAAAAAAGAGATTTCCTTTAAGATATGAAACTATTTGTTTATTCAATAAAGTTGTATGCATGTGAAAGCCATTACTTCTTCAAGAGTACATTATGAGTATTATTTGACTATTAAATACATAGTGTCTATTTCAAAAGTTTCATAAAAACTATGATAACGTTTCATTCATTTCAAACATAGTTTTCTCAAACTTAATACCAAAAGCATTGTATATGTCACATTAAACTGAAAATCTTTATCATAATGCATACAATACTTTCTTGTGGTTTTCGATGATCCATAATAAATGTAGGAATATATCATATTGCTAATTTTCATATGCTTATGTTGTACTGGCAAATTCTTTATTCCTAAACTTGTCTTATATTTCACATATAACATGCGAAGAATATTCCTATATATTATATACATGTAAACTATTGTGAATTACAATATATATATGCCAGTAAGTACATGCAGTTATATTACCAGCCTGAATTATAATTCTCACTCAGTTCACAGTTTTATGAATATATCCAAAATTATCTCAATAACTGGCATATAAAGATTAATGATATGACCATTTCCTTTTGTGTGTTGATCTTACAAGAAAGAAGTGCACAGTCATTTCCTCTGGTGCAATACTTTTATTTCTTTGTCTTCAATGTTCCAGAGTCAGTTTTAACAGTAATGTAATCCTTCCTTTTGTTGTCATGCTGAAAATTTTCTCATTCCAAAAGTGACATGTGACATAGCATGGGTTATTTCATATTCAGCACTGTTATAGTTTTGTTATATGTCCCCAAACTTTTATCTTTAAACCATTCATTTCACTTTTTTTTCATGCATAGATCTAAAACTATTCCCATATATGGTTATAAATTGTCTGACAATTTCCTTGTGTGTGTCGATCTTTAAAAGAAACAAGTGGTTATTCTTTTTCTCTGATTACTTTTTTCCAATTTCAGTTAGTAATTACTTGTATAACATCATTGCCTCCAAGTCATCTTAATACAGATACTGAAAAAAAATATGTAAACATTTAGTGACATTTTAAAGTTATTGGTATTCATAGTATGATACAAATAGAAAACTTCAATCAAAATTGTGTGTTCCTTAATTATTATTGAATTAATTATAAAAAGTAAACTTGACAAAATGTTCTACCTTGATTTAAAATGAACTTTTAATTGATGAATTTTCTGTAAAAGTACAATACAGTTTGTAAGCACATCTTACTTCAACTGATATTTACCCATCACAATGCTTTACCAATCTGTTATTAATTAATATGACTTAATCAATATTGAGTGGGTGTGACTAAATACAACAGACAACTTACATATACACCTAACCTGAGGGTCTGGATGGTGTTTACAGAATAGATAATAATCATTATGGGCAAAAAGTGCAGAATAAAGGGCTAACACATTAAAGAATATAAAACGACTAATAAAAAAGAGAATATTGGGGTTTAAAACACAAAGAATAGAGAATAATGAGCAAAATAGATAAAGAATATAGGAAATGGTATAAAAAAGAATAAAGAACTAAAGGATCCCCAGCAATACCCATACATTATAATATTAATACTTACATTGTGTAGACCTCATAGATAGTATAAAAACTACACTCTTTATGCATAAACATTTTAACTTATATGTGCCAGGTGTAAATCAATCTGCAAAAGAAGTTACAATAATTACTGAAAGAATTCAAACTAAATTTTATACACACCTGATTGTAAATAAGCATAATTAAGATTGATGTGAATTGTTTTAAAACATGCTTGTCAAGATTTGAAAAGATCTACACAAAGAAACATAGACTTCAGATACACATTTTTATAGTGAATCAATACATGCAATATTACAAATAAACATTTTATATAATCTAATGACTATAAACATAAGAAAAATGAACAAATTAATAAAGAAAAAAAATTAAATGTACACTTAAAGGGATGATTTAAAATGATAGTATGATGACTATCAGATTAAAAACCATAAAAGAAAAGTTGTTTATCAATTATGGCCACGATAATAAATAATACTTCTCACATATAACATCTCATGTGCCTGCCTAAGCAATTTTATTAAATGCAGGCAAGCCATATCCATTAGTATGATGCATGCACAGAGTCATATGTATGCATATATTTTTGATATTTTTTGGTTTTTTTTTGTTATATATTATAAATTGGAATAAACACCTAAATAAGAAATGATTTTACATGTGCAATCAGGACAATCTGAATCATGTTCAAATATACCTAATAAATCTCTGAAAAAATGTTTAGGTGTTTGCCTCCAACATAAATTCAAATTATATGACATGCATACGAGACAAATTAAGGGGAGAGGAGGGGGGATTAAGGGGAAAGCTGGCGGGCATGGTGTTCGGACTTTCTAACAAGTTCCACTCCTTACGTTGCATTGTTGCTGACCATTAAGAGCCCATATTTAAAAATATTAGACCCGCATCTGTGCATGGCAGGTCAGTCTGCAAAATGTCAACATAAAGTAATTTAGTCAATGGTCAATGAGGATATGATTCTTTATAAGCGAGTAAAATAGTGTTAACGTGCATAAATCATTTATAGGAAGTTTTTCTATACAGTATACAAACTGCCCTCGTCATGTTGACAGCGAAACGTGTAATGAATAACCCAACTTTTAGGTAAACAATGTGACTTTCTCTACAGACTATAGCTTCATAAAATAAAAGTTCATTCATACTCAATCGTGAATGAAATGAATAATGACGGTGCTCAGCAGTAGAGGACTAAAATAATTTAAAACAAACTTACCTCAAAATATAAGCAACACACTTCTATATTAACGTGTTTTTGTTGAACTGATGGCAGTAACTTCTATCATAACAAGGTGCCCGACCAGCTGTTCGTGACAAGCTCAAAATTGACGTCGACGAAACGTTCTAGCCAATCACGTGTCGAATAGTTAAGAAAATGACGTCAGATTTAGATTGCGATGCAAACACCGAAAATCATTGCCAAATTTTTTGAAACTGCATTACACTACTGTAACAACAGCCCATGAAAAGGCCGTTAAATGTCTGTGAAATATCACAGGCCCGTGAAAACCCCGTGAAAATACCCCGTGACTTTTGTAAAAAAAAAAAATTCTAAAGGCCGTGAAAAATATTTGATGATAGAAAAAGACCGTGAAATTTCAATATCCCGTGAAAAGGCTGTTATAATTTGTCCTTTCATGCTTAATAAAAAAATATCACGGCCTTTTCACTGGTTATTGAAACCAGTGAAAAGGCCGTGATATTTTTTCATGTCAATTTTTTCTTATCCTAATTCAGATTTTAAACATCCCATGTGATTATTGTAATATGGTCTAATTATTTTCACTCACATTTTTCTAAATATCCTATAATCTTTTCATTATAAATATATGTCTGTTTAAATATTATTATATGCAATACTACTGTACAGGACTGACTTTTAAATGGAACCATTCATTGTTATAATTAATGACTTTGTGCCAATAAATATTTTGTATTTAAAGAAAAGTATTTTGCTTCTCGTCTGTACATTATTATAAACAATGTAAACATTAATTTTAATTGGAACCGAAACATGTAAAAACGAGAACTTCCCGGAATATCAGACCGTATCCGGATTCATGTTTCTTTTAGAGTAATTGTAACATTTCCGCAAGGTTAGAAATTTAAAAGACGACGAAGGTCGATTAATATTTACTTTATAGATGCAAGACGAGTCACAGCAAGTTTGAGGTAAGTTAAGTTATTAATATTTTATTCCTTTAAGCATCATATCACCAAAATATTGATGACGTTTGTGAGCATTTCCATTGAACCGATTTTCACTGAATTTCCAGAAACCGGGCAAACATGCATGTGAAATATTCACTTCTATTTGAGTCTGTTGCACTTGATTCCTTTAATCATTTCGGTTAATGTTTTCTAAGACTTACCGGATCCTTTAAATACGATTACGGTTTTGTTTTGTTTATGTATTTGGGGAAAAAAGGGAGGGTCCCTTTTCCCCACACTGGCCACATGAAAAAAATAACATTTATGTACAGTACACTACGTAGACATAGACATAGATAATTGGAAATGATTATAATAGCAATAAGTATCTCTGAAATGGAGTTCACTCTGATAATCAGAGGCGTAACCCCCTTTGCATGTGTCGGGAGCTATCTAAGTATTTTCTGACTTGGCCGTCGGGACACAGAGTTCGAAAGGGATTAGTGAGAGGCGCAGCAGAGAAAGTATTTAATATTTGTACGGCAAAATGTCCTTTCTAGAAGGGTTTGTGCCATATCATAAGAATAATTGGTATGGCAATGAGGTGTTTAAAAAATAATTGGTATAGCAAATGTGCCTGCAGTAAAAGTTGCTACGCCCCTGGCCCCCTGTAAAATAAATAGCTGTGACTCATTACGGCCACTTAGTCTAGACAAGTTTGGCTTTAGCTATACATATTATTACTTCAAAGAAACATTTAAATGTAATAGTCTGTCTTAAAAGTGTCTTTAGTCTTTAAAAAAATCTAAAAAAAATAATATAAGTTGACAATACAAAACTTCGTTTACAAATGATGCCACATTTGATAGGGGGCATATTTTCTGGAAAATGGTATGAAAATATGGGAAAACCTATGCATGTTTCCAAGTGGCTGTTCTGTTTCAAGAATGTTTTTTAGTATTTTTCATACCATTTTCACCTCCAGTATGAAAATCTGCCCCTATTCAATATGGGGTCATTAACCGTGAAGTCCTG